GAAATTAAATTATCCGAAAAAAAGAGCATTTTCTTATTAACAATTAAAACAGGAAATTTAATCATTTTATAATTCTTAAATATTCAATTAATATTTATTTTTTTCAAATTAAAATTACATAGCTTATACTAAATTTAAATTTTAAGAATTTATAATAAATAAACTATTTTATTCATCTGAAAAATAATTAAAATAATTTCTTTCTTATAAAAATAAACTCTAATATTAACTTTAAATTTCAAAAAATTCATTTTATTTTTAAATTAAATCTTAATAAAAATGCTTTTGTAAAACATATGAAAACTCAGACTTTTTTTTTAAACTATATATATAATTAATTCCTTTAATTTATTAAAAGGAAGCTTTTTCAGCTAAAAAAAAAGTATTTTTAAATATGATTTCTTTCTTTTTTTAACTAAAAATTTATTCAATATTCCCGTCTATATTCTAGGTTAAAAAACTTACATTTTTTAAAGGAAAACCTTCTTTTGTATTTTCTTCATTTTCAATTAAAAAATTAATTTTTTCATTTAAATTTTCGTCTAAAAGAAGCTCATATATTTCATTTTTTTATTAAATGTATATAGAAGATTCATTATTTTACCAAGAATTTAATATTTAGAGTTGCTTTTAACTATTTTTTGCATAAAATGAAGTATTATTTAGTATTTTTTCTTTAAAATTATCAATTGTATTTATCAAAACAATTTCTTTTTCATAAACTAAACATAACATTATTTTATTTAATAAATAGAATTATTAATATTAAGAGTTAATATTTTTCTAAAATAATATTTCCTTATTAAAATATCATTTGTTTTTTTATCTATTTAATATGAAATTATTGATTTTTAATCATTATTAGTATTTAATTCTAATAATATTGAATAAAAATACTTCTTTTTTTATAATATCTATATATTTTTTTTTAATTTAATTTATATATATATGTATATATATTTTTTTTTCACATTTTAGTTTGAAAATTGAATATTTTTTATTATTTTATGTGAAATTATATGTCTTATTTAATATCTTTAAGGATAGAAATTATTTAAATTTAATACTTTTTCATTTATTAATAAATCCTTTATAAAAATTTTTAATTTTTTTTTTATTAAAAATAAAAAAATTACTTTTTCTTTAATTTTTAGTGATAAAGAAATTATTTAATTTATATTATTTGATGTTGATATAAGTATTTTTTATAGATTTTTTTATATTTAACAATAGGAAACATATATAGGTTATTATATTTTATTATTTTCAACAAAACTTGAATATGATTTATATTAAGAACTTTATTTTATAGATATTAGATCTTATTGAGATATTTAATTTTTGAAATTTACATTATTTGAAAAAGCTAAAATTGTCCATTTTAAATCTTCATCTAAAATAAATAATAATTTTTAATGAATTTTTATTTATTTAAAATAATTTTTTTCTATATCTTATGTATATATATCATCATAATTTAATACTATTATTGAAATTAAAAAATTTTGAAATCTTAAATAAAATGTTTATTGTAATTTATTATTTTCATTTTAACTCAGAAAATGTATTTCGTTTCTCTTTTTATTTTTTAATTGAATTAAAATATTTATTTATTTTTTTAAAAAATACTATTTTGTAAATATATATTTCATTGTTATTAAATTAAAGTATATGTAAATTTTACATTTTTATTAAAAGTATATATATATATTTTTTTTCCCCTTAATTATTTTTTTTTAAATTTATTATATATTTTAGAAAAATATAAGTTTTATATCAAAGTTATTTGTTAGAATTTATTAATAAATAATAAAAATTATAAGAAAAGTATATATAAATATTTTTATAATATAATTGCTTTATTGTTAATTTTTTTGTTATTTAATAATTAAAAAATCAATTTTTTCCATAGGATTTAGTTATTAATTCTCTTTATCTTTTTTTTAAAATAAAATGTTAATCCGATTGAGATTACATTAATAATGCAATTTAACTAATTTATTCTTTTACATCATTTAAGTTAGAAATCTATAAATAAAATAAAATATATTATATTTATATAAAAATAATAAAATATTTACTTTACAATTTTATATTAAAGTTTCATATTATTTTTTTGTTTAAGAAATTATATTTTCTAGTTTATATATTTCTGTTGAAATCAATACATTATCAAATCTATTTTTTTTTTTTAGATAAATAATATATTTTTTTAAAAATAAAAATTAATAAACTTCTCGTAATTTTCGGGTAGTTAATATTATATTAATTCTATTTTTTCGCTATTTACATTTTATTAAGATTCTTATTTTTATAACTTTTCTTTTTTATTTTTACTATTTGATCTATTAGTTTTATTAATTTAAGAGGGTGAACTAGTATATTAATAAGTTTTTCTTTTTTTCTAAGAATTATTTAAACTTAATTAACTTTTTCTACTTTCTCGACTAATATTTAAATCACTTAAAATCATACTTTTTTGAGTTCTTTATGTTTTCTGTTTATTTTTTTAAAAAGATCTTTCTAATAAGCTATTATTTTTTTGTTTTTTCTCAAAGTTTAATTTAGATTTTCTTTCACTAGATTTATTAATTTATTTTCTTTCAATAGAAATATTATCAGATATAATTGACTTATCTAATTATTTTAATTTTCTTTATAAAATAGTTAAAGATTATAATCCTTTTTAAGATTATTAATAAGTTTTAATTAAATCAATATCTTAAATTATTTAATTTATTTGATTTTATCTGATTGAGTTTTTATCTTTTTTTTAATGTTATTCTTATGCTTTTGAATTTTATTATTTTAATTAATAAATTTAATTATTATTTTATATTTCCTATTAATATTGTATTTTAATATATATATAAATATATAAATATATAAATATATAAATATATAAATATATATATATATATATATATTTATTTGTGTTTGAATATTATTTTTTTAAATATTAATATTTTTTTTTTTTTAATATATATATTTATTTACATTTATCAATTTATTTAATTCTTTGTATTTTAAATCTATAATATTTTTTTCCTTTATTAATGTATTTATTTAATTTTTTAAAAATTTGTTAGTTTCTTCTAATTTAACATTTGTTTCTTCTAAATTTATTTATATTTTTTTTTATACTTAAAGACTATTTTATAATGTTTAAATTCTTAAATTATCCTCTTCTTTTTATTTTTGATTTCGATTTATTTTTTTACTTAAGCAATCTTTTTCATCTTCATTAATTATTAAATGTTTATTAGGTTTCAAAGTATTATTTTCTTAAATATTATCAACTATTGTATTATTTTATTAATTTTTATTTTCTTGAATAATTTTAACTAAATTTTGATTTTCTTTTTTAATAATTAAATACTGTTCACTAACATTTTTAATATCTTTAAATATTATTAAAATACAATGATTTTTTATAAAAATATTTTTAAGTAATACCTTTTCATAATTTATAATTTTAGTTATAATTTCTATTCATTAATATCTTTTTCTTAAACCAAATTTTCTAAATTTTTACATTTTTCTTTAAGTTTATTTAAAGCCGCAGCTATAGCTGGAGAACTACTATCACTCCAACCATTGATTAAAGGTGAATTATTTCGACTTTTTAAAGGTTTATTTGTATAACTATTATATTAATTACTATTATTACTATTATAAATTTTAGTATTATTATTATTATTATTATTTATATTATTACTATTATTTATATTATTTTCTTTATTATATATTTAAAGTTTATTTTCATCAGTTTATGGTTTATCGTCTTTTAAAATATTTCCAAATTTAAATTCTTTTTAATTATTTATACTATTAATAGAAATATCAAGTTCATTTTTAGTCGTAAAATCATTTTAAATAATTTAAGAAAATGAAGAATTTATAGGATTAGACGCTTGTTTTAAAATTTGATTTTAAAAAAGTTAATTTTTTGTATTTAATGGAGAAAAATTTGACTCTTAAGCAATATTTTATAATTTTTTATTAATATTAATATTAAATGCTAAATCTATATTTGGAGAAGCTTATAATTTCGATGATAACATATTAATTATACTTGATTAATCGAAACAACTTATTAAAAAAATATAAGATTTATTATTATTTATTATACAAATACTTCATTTTTATGTTTAAATCAGATTATTCGTTTTTAGGATTCATATTTTTATATTAAAAATTAATATTATTAAATTTAATATATTTAATATTAATATTTTTAAAAAAATGATTTAAAATATATTAAAAACTTAAAAAAAAAATAATAAAAAAACTATACAATTAAGAATAAATATTATTTGAACAAAAAAAAATGAAAAATTAAATAATAAAAAATTTTTATAAAAATTATTAAAAAAAAAATAAGTATAAATATAATTATATATATAATATATATAAAAATATATATATATATGTATATATTTATACATTTATATTTATTTGTTTATATATATATTTAATTTTATTTAAATTTTTATAAAAAGATTTATTTATTATAATTAATATGAATATATATTAAATATTTTTATTATTATATATATAATTATAATAAAATAATATACTATATTTATATATAATAATTTTTATAAAATAATAAATCAACAATTTAATAATAAAATAATTTACTATTTAAGTTCATTTAAAATTTTATTTTTTTCACTTTTATCTGTATTATTTTAATTATTAATTTTATCATAATACACTTAAGCTAAATCAATTACTTATTACTTTTACAAAATATTTGCGTTTCTACATAATTCCATTAAATCTTTTTTAATAACATTATTATCATGTATCTATCCCTTTTATTACATTTTCATTATTATTATTATTATTATTATTATTATTATTATTATTATTATTATTAATGATCTACTTAAAAATTTTAATTTTCTAGTTCACTTAATTTATTTTATGCAAATTCAATAATTTGTTTCGGAAAGTTTAATGCCTAAGCAACAAATATTCCATATGAATTTTACGCGAAACCCTCTTTTACTCTATATTACATTGTTAATTTATTATTAACAGCAACACAATCTACATAATAATTGACTACACCTTTCATTTCTTTTCCCATTTTCGTCATTTCGTGAAAATGTGTTGCAAAAAGGCAAAAGCCCTATATTTTCTCAACTATATATTCTGAAATAGCCCAAGCTAATCCAAATCCTTCATTAGTTGCTGTTCCTCTCCCTAATTCATCAATAATAATAAGTGATTTTTCACTAGCAGTTTTTAACATACAGCTTGCTTCCAACATTTCACTCATAAATGTACTTATTCCCCTTATTTACATATCACTCGCCCCTACTCTAGTAATAATTGCATCTATAACAGGCATTTCTGCCTTTTCTGCAGGAATATAACAACCCACATGTGCTAATAAAACACACAAAGCTACTTATCGTATATAAGTACTTTTTCCTCCCATGTTTGGGCCTGTAATTATATGAAACCTGCTCTTTTCCTTATCCATATAGCAATCATTTGGCACACAATTATTATCAACAACCTCTAAACACGGATGTCTACACTAGACTAAATTAATTCTGTTATTCTATACTTAAATATCAGGTTTTGTATATTTTGTAGGCGAATTTACCACTAATTAAGCAAAAGTAGATAATACATCCAATTAACTAATATAAGAACTAGCATTTTCCATCGCAGGGTAATAAGAAGAGACTACAGCGAGTATTTTATCCACTACTTATTTTTATTCTTACGTATATTCATCACTAATGCAATTATATTCCGCTACTAAAGACTATAAATCTTCTGTAGTATATAAAATAGTAGTTTTTTTCATAGATATAATTTTATATTTTTGATGGTTTTTTCTCCTAAAAGCATCATCTGTTTCCTTTTTTTTACCTTCGAAAAGGTATGTATGAGTATTTGAGTCTACAATTTTTATTTCTACACCCAATTCTCGTGCGTATTCTTATTTTAGAGAATTTATTTCACTTTAAATAGTCTTCATTTTTTTAGATATTTCAGTCAACGCAGGTGAAAACATAGGATTTACCATATATTCATTCTAACTTTTGGCTTTTTCTAGATCTATAGACTATTTTATCATACTCTAAAGTTTATTGAATTAATTCTAAAGCTCGAAAAGTGGATTAAGTAGCTAGTTTTCAGAAATTTAGGTATTTTCTTAGTTTTCTAAATATTAATATAGCAAATTCATGTTTTCGACTAAAGAATAGACTTTTATACAATCGGAAAGGTTACAATTATGTTTCTTATTAGAAGCCACTTTATAGAATTTTACATATAGTTTATCTAAATCAGCTATTTTTCTTAAAAAATCAGTCTATAAATAATTCCTTAAATCATTTTTCTATATTAAATATTCAACTATATCTAGTCTTTTATTAATCTCTTCTTCGTCTTATAAAGGCTGTCTTATCCATCTTCTTAAAAGACGACTTCCTATTTAAGTTTTACATTTATCCAATAAATCAACTAGGGTTTAAAATGATTGCTCTGCTCCTCCCATTAAACTTTTTCTATATTAATCTTGTTGCTTTGGAAATATTAAAAGAGCATTTATTGCTGCTAAATCTAGTTTCATGAATTTATTTAATACGAATTTCTCTAATGTAAATTATTTGAAGTTTGATTAATCTTTACTTAATTATTAATCTAATACAGCACAGTTTAAACATTATAAAGCTGAAGTTAATGTGCTTTCTTATATGTGTTATTATAAAGACTTTTTTAATAATTTATTTATATCTTCAGTATAATTCTTTTCAAGGAAATATTTTTTTTCTCTTATTATTTTTTATATATATATATTAATATTATGTATTTTTTTTATTATTACCTTTCTTATATAGATTATATATCACATTATCCTATTATATCTTATATTTTTTCTTTTTCAGTTTATAAATCTGGATAATTTATGTAGAGTACGAATTTTGTTTATTAATCTTATGGATTAGTTTATACTAATAAAGATTCGAAGTTTGAAAAATGCTCAGAGTCTTGGAATTCGGTTATTTGGAATTTTCTTTAGTCATAATTTATTATGGCTGCACTTACTTACCTAATTCCATTTTAATAGTCAAAATTTGTGCAAAGAATTATTATATTTTTTTCGTCTTGATATTCAATTTCTTTTTCTTCAATCATATTTTTTTTTGTATTTTTCCTTGTATTTTTTTTTTTGTATTTTTTTTTTTTGGATTTTTTTTTTTTTTTTTTTTTTTTTTTGGTTTTCTTTTAAAGTTTTTTTTTTTTGGGTTTTTTTTTTTTTTTTTTTAAAGCTTTTTATTTTGCAGGCGGGAAAATAAGAGAGAAAAATCTATTGGAAATTAAAACTAAAGATATTAAATACATATATATGTATTTTTTATTTTTATATATTCTTTATTATTATTAATTTTAATTAAATATTTTTTTAGTATTTTATAAAAAAGAAATAAATTTAATAATATTTTTTAACTTTACAAGTATTTTTTGTTCATTTAATAAAATATTCAATATTTTTAATTCATTTATTAAATTACTTATTGCATATATTATTTAATTTTTAATTATATTAATAAATTATTGATTATTTTAAAACAAAGAAAAAATATTTTATTTAAAATAGCAATTTTTAAATACATTCTATATGGGTCAATAAAGCTAATTGCATTTAATATAATTTTAATCACAATCCACATCTGAAACATTATATATATATACAAATATTTAAAAAAAAAATTATACATAATTAAATATAAAATTTAATAGAGTATAAGCATTCATAAACTTATTCACCCAGTGTTCCTAAAACAAATAATTTTTGGGGTCCAGCTTTAAAAAGTGTTTTTAAAATATAAGTATTTTTAAATTAATATAAATAAAAATGCAATTTATTTTGTCAACGTATTTTGCTTTATTTGTTAGGTTTTATTGTAGAGTTTAACCTAGAAATTATTTTTTAGTGTGTATCCATACACATAATTTATTTTAATTAAGTAAATTATATATTAGAAGATAACATTACGAAAGCAACATTAAATATAAAAAAAATATAAATATATTATTTTTATTTAGACTAATAAAAATTTTATTAATAAAATTATACAAAATTCATAATGGTTTTAAAAACAAAGTAAAATCATAAAATATAACTATAAAATTACTAAACCAATAAAATTTACAAATAAAAAAATTATAAAATTCTTATTTTTTGTTTTTTAATAAAAAATACATTTATCAAATAAAAGCTTTATTTTATAATTTTTATTTAACTTTTTATTTAAATAAAATTAATTATTTAAAAAAATAAAAAATTTATAAATTATTAATAAAAAAATGGATTATGCTTTAATAGATTGTTTTTAGGAAGCAGTAAAATTTTTAACAAACCAAAAATCTTTATTAAAAAATATTAATATTTTATAATTTTTTATTAATAAAAAAAGATGATATCTAAAAACGAACAAAATAGAATTATTTTAATATAAAAAGGCATTAAAAAAATAACAGACTTATTACCATTTTCAAAATAATATTAATAGATTTTATTTTAAAATGATCTATATAAGCATCTAATTATTAATATTCCGTTATTTGAATCTGTCGTAAAATATATTTTTTTAAGACTAAAAAAAAAATATAATTAAAGATAACTCTTTTAATTGATACATTAATAGAAAAATTTAGCAAATAAGAAATTTTTATAGAGCAATTTCTAAATGGTATATTATATGCAAGTTCGATAAAAGACTAAAATTTAATATAATAAGAAAATAAACATTAATAAGAGGAATAAAATCCAAATAAAAACACGTTATTTTTTTTTAAAAAATATGTATATATTATATTTATTTTATAAAAATGAAAAGTATTAAAGAAAATAATCAAGACTAACATAATAATAATAATCATTAATAACCTAAATCTTATTTAATTTCAAAAATAAATTTACCTGATTTTATTGTTTTAAATTTAAGAAAAATAAAAATGTATTCGTTAAAATATATAAAAAAAATAACCCCTATAATAATAGTAAGAAAAACATAATTAAAAAAAATAATTAAAATAATTTTTATTTTTTAAAGTAAAATTATGCTTAATCATAAGTTTTTGCTTTAAAAATTTGCGAATTTTATAAATACTTTATAGAAAACACAGAAGATATTTTATTAATTAAAAAATCATGTATTTACTTATATAAATCAAAACAAAACTGGAGTTTATTATTACAAAATCATTAAATAATTACAGAAATAGATGAAAGTAAAAAAAAAAATTCTAAAAAATAAAAAATAAAAAATAAAAAAATATAGTATTATTAAAAAAAAGCAAAAAATAAATAGCTTCCTGTGATGATAATATCGACTAATTATATCATAATACAGAAGAAGATGGTATATAACTAGAAGAAGATTAAGAATCTTTATAAACACAAAGTATTGGTAGTAATACACACAGAAATTAAAAGGATGTAATAGATTTTTTAGAAGATTGGTTATGTTACGATGATATTCCTAAATTTTAAAATTTAAAAAGATAAACAAATGGAAGTATTACTACTGATTTTTTTAAATTGGATATTAATTTAGAAATTATTTTGAGTTTTATTTTAAATCCTACTTAATATAATTGTTCAAATGAAGTAATTTATATATATATAAATATATAAGATTATTTACATATGTAATTTTAGTGGATTTAAATTAATAAAGATATTATTTAATCTTCACATTTTTTACCTGAATTTCCTTTTTTTTTTCAAAACAACAAAATATAATAAACTAACTCCGAAAATGTAGAAGAAGATATAGAAAATAAACTAGATATTATATATTTAAGATCTTTTAGAACAGCACTTATGTTAATGGACCCAAGAAACTTTTATACTTTAATCCGATTAAATAATTCCTATTTTGACATTTTTTGTAATATTATTTTATATATAATTATAATTTTATAAAAATAAAGAAATAAAAAAAATATATATATATTATTAAATATTGTTATATAATTATAAATAAAATTTTATAAAAAGTTGAAAATCTATATAAATCAATAAAATAAAATCATTAATTTATGAATTTTAATCATGTAACTATGATGATATAATTTATTCTCAAGAAAGACTAAAATATAGGTTTTTATTATCTTATAGAATATAATTTAATGTTCGGTTTTTTATAACATCTTCATTTTAGCAATGTTTAAAATTTACTTACAAATTTGATATTATGTTAAGGCAATAGTCCTTTATTAAATAAATAATTTAATTAAAAAATATGGTTTTATATAGAAGAAACTTAATTTATATATGAATTATTGTATTTAATGTTATATTAAAAAATAGAAGAATACTCTTTATAAAAATTTGATAAAGAATACAAACTTTAGACAATAAATAATTTAACAAGTAAAAAACATTCTAAAATGTTTAATTTGTAAAGTGATATTATATAAATCGATAATATTACATTAAATTTCAAAAATTTTCATGAAATTACTTATGGTTTAGAATGTGATATTGATTTAATTAAAAAATAAATAAATGAATAATGTGAAAAAAATTTAACTTAAAATTCTATTTCTATAAATAAATAGAAAAAACTTTTAAACAAAATAAGTACTTTAAATTAAATTTCATAAAATTATGAAAAATATAATGATTAAGGTTAAAATATTAAGGTTAAAATATTTGTAATAATAATAATAATAATAATAATAATAATAATAAAAATAATATAAATTATAATAAATATAAAAATAATAATAATATTTATCGGACTTCTATAACTCTTTAAAACTTTAATATCAAATAAGATTCAATTTTAAATTTTAAGTGTCCTTACACAGATTAATCATAACCCAAAAATGATCGAAAATATAATACAATTTAACCATTTAATTTTTTATAAATTTAAGAATCAAATAATTATTATTTAAATAATTTTTATTAAAAATTACCTAATTTTGTCCCATATAGTACTTAGTCTTCTCTTACTAGTTCTAGTAAAAATTTCTTAAAAGTTTCTGATAATGATACTAAATAAATTAATATTTTGTGTAAGTAATAAACTTCTTAATTTATTGCTACAAATACTATTTAAAAAAAAAAAATATAAGTTGATAAAAATATGTTTGTAAATTAACTTTCTTAAAAAAATATATAAAATTAAAATTAATATACTAGAATCTAATTATGTAATTTTTAAAAATAAATTTTATTAAAACTTTTTAAAACTAAAAAGGTTAAAGTAATGATATTAATTATTAATAAGATAAAATATAGTTAATTTATCCAGTTAATATATGCTTTGTAATAAAATATATTAATATTATATATTTATATTTTTAGATGGAATAAACATAATTAGAAAAAATGGCAATTAATCCTTTGTTTGATATGCAGATATTATAAAAAAATGAAGAATTCGAATTTAATACTGCTATATTAATTTATAGTCTTTTTGAAGATGTTATTTTATAATTAGAAAATTCCATAATGTATAAAATGTTAAAGTTAAATTAATTAAATACACCTTAAAAAATTATTAATATTATTTTAGGAGAATAATTAAAAAACATGAGTTTAGTTTTTAAAAATTACCTAATTAAAATGAAAATCTAAAGTAAATTTATACATAATAGTGCGTAAATATGTGGGAGATTAATAAATAGAATATTAAAATCTTTAATGTAAAAAATAAATAAAACAACAAAAATAAAAAATAAAAAAGTGAAATACCAGAAATGAGTTTTATAAAACAGAATATATATAATTTAATAGAATAACATTTTAAATTTTTAATAAAATGTATAATATAAAATTTCTCATTAATTAAAGAAAGAGAATAATAGCAAATTAGAATATAAAAATAAATAGTAAAATAAAAATTATATATATATATATATATAAATATATATATATATATATATATATATATTATAAATTTATATTTAGATTGAAAACACCTTAGATATAAATATTTATGAATTAATTAAAACTTTATTTTTATGTCTAAAATGTGTAGATGATATCGATAAAAAAAAGATACTTTTATAGTATATTTCTATTTCATGTTTACATTGCATATAATTAATGTTTTTTGAATATTCTTCGAATTCTTTATATCAAAATTTATTTATTTAGCTTATTAAAGAAATTT